TCTCTCTCTCTCTCTCTCTCTCTCTCTCTCTCTCTCTCTCTGTGTGTGTGTGTGTGTGTGTGTGTGTGTGTGTGTGTGTGTGTGTGTCTCTGTGCGTGTGTGTGTGCCTCCCTTCTCCTCTCTGCCATACTCTACATCAGAACATGGTTGTGCAACAAACCCCTCCCCTCCCTTATCGTCATCATCTCGTCTTCACTGTCATACGCCCACCTCTCAAAAAATCAATGCCCATAATAAAAATTACCTTCATCTCGCCCTTACTCCCCTCGCTAACAACTCCCTTTCTCTTCACTCTCCTTCGCTTCAACAGGAGCGATCACGAAGATCGCTTACCTCCCTCTCCCTAATATCCTCCCACCCCAGTCTTCCTCTCCGAAAAGATCAGGCGACAGCTGCCTCCATCAGAAAAGATTGAATGCCCATCCCGCAGAACTCTCCTCCCCTCCAATACCGATCGAGAAAGAGCATAACCTTCCCTAATAAGACCAGAAGCAGTAGGAGCAAGGGGCGGGTGGAAACGTGAGGAAGCTGGGGGTGGAAACAGACGGCAGGGGCGGGAAGTGACGGCCGGGGTAAAAAGGAGAAACGAATGCAAGGCATCACTCACTCGAGTCAGCAATGTTGACGAAGGCTCCAACTCACGTGGTAGCGGAAATCCACGCCGAAAACACATCGCACGGAACACGAAGCACACAGCCCCAATTCACTGCAAGCACGAACGACCAAAGCACAAACTCAGTTCAACTCACCGCGCACCAGTTCACGACACAGGATGCACGAAGCACCGCTCCGAGAAGAACGAACACCAATTCACTGGAAGCGCGAGCACCAATTCACAGATCGTGGCGCACCCAAGTCACACCAATTCACGAAACACAGAGGACCAATTCACGAAGCACGCAGTACCAAGCACCGATTCACGAAGAACCGAGCACCAATTCACGAAGCACGCGGCCCTCATCCACAAAGCACCCAGCCCCAGTTCACGAAGCACCAACCATCGAAGCACGAAGCACCAGTTCACGAAAGCACCAATTCACCAATTCACGAAGCATGACGCATTCACCAAGCACGGACCACGGAGCAGCGAAGCACGAAGCAAGTTCACAAAGAACGAAGCAGCAAGCTCACGAAACACGGAGCACGAAGCACAAAACGGAACATGGAGCAGGAAGCACCAAATAAAAATGTCGCACCAAAGTACGAAGCACGGCGCACCAAGCTTGAAGAGCACAGATCACAGAGCGCCGAAGCAGGGAGAATGGTGCAGCGAAGCACGAAGCAAGAAGCCCCAACTTAAAAAATTAAAAATAATAATAATAATAATTAAAAAAAAAAAGCCCCAACTTCTTGGAGCACAGAGCACGAAGTACCGCACACGGATCAAATTCAATCGAACCAAAGCACCAAGCTCTCTCGTTCAAGCCGTACCACAGCACGGCGCACCAAGCTCACGGAGCACCGAAGCACGGAGGCCAGAGCACCGGTTCATGAAAGCACCAAGTTCACAAAGAACCACCAAAGCGCGGACAACGTACCATGTATGAATCACACATCTCACGGAGAGCGGACAGTCCCGCCCGAATATTGGGGTTGGGGTGGAAAAGGACCGATTCTTATTGGTAGTCAAGTCTATGAAATTTAGGGCTTTCCCAAAAAGTGTCGGCCACTGTCGGAACGCCACTGTCGGAACGAAAAGAGAAAGAACGCATCTTTCAGCACAAAATGGTCAGATGCATCCGTTGCTATTCATAGTAACGGATGTATCTTGTGCTTCTCTGCGGGAATATGCGTTCTCTCTGTTTTCGTTTCAAAAGTGGTGTGGCCAGGGCCCTTAGGAGAACACGCGGCATAAAGAGCTGCGTTTTTCGCGCTGACGCAGGCGCACCCTTTGACAAATGCCCAGTGCGCAGTACGCATTAATCCCCCGCACGCACAAAAGACAAAAATAATAGCGTTGTATCTTTCCATGTTCTAGGGAAAGCTTCACTCTCGTTTTGCACAGTGGCGAGGTCCTTAGGGGAACACGCGCCATAAAATGGGAGCGTTTTTCGCGCTCACACAGGCGCACCATTTGACAAATGGTCCAGCTGGGCAGTAATTCCCCCCATGAACAAAAGACGAAATTGACTTACGGTGAGGGCACGGGTGCGCAGCCCGTGGTTTGTTTGCTGATGTTGTTGTTGTTGTGTGTGTGTGTGTGTGTGTGTGTGAGAGAGAGAGAGAGAGAGAGAGAGAAATCAGGAGCGGCGCCACTTTGTCAAAACGCCTTGATCGATAAGGCACCACGCTCCTTGTGCACACAGGGAGACTATCACTTTGTGAACGCAAAGGGAACGGGAGCGGCCACCGCTGCTTTTGGCCTGTTTCGATTTCGACCACGACAGGCTTCGAATTCAAACCACTACTCTACCTGACGTTGGAAGTTCGGGGGACCGGTAGCACAGGTCCATGAGGGCTACCAGTAGCACAGAGTGGAGAACCGGCAGAGTGGTGAATATAGAAAATGGGATGAATTTGCGCTATAAGCTATTTCGCGGTTGAGACAAATTTTTTAATTTTTTTTAACATTTTTCCTGAAAAGATCATGACCAAATCTACGGACTCTCAAATTTTCAGACTTGTTTACGAGTTCTTCTGAGGGTGAAAAAGCTTTGAAATAGGGATACTTTTCCCATTGGCCCACAAGTTGTCGTGTGCCAAAAATGGAAAAAGTGACGAATTGGCGCGGCATTTATTTCATGGTCTAAACGATTTTAATTTATTTTGTTGATATTTTTCCTGGAAGGATCACGACTTGGCCTACCCGATATCCAATTTTCAGATCTTTTCTCCAATTATTCTGCGTACGAAAAATCGCCAAAGTTGGTGCTCGAAAATGGCAGGATTGGACCCGCCTGCGCCTTCCAGTCGGCGCCCCCCCTAAAAACCCGCCCTAACTCACCACAGGGCCTGCGTCCACGTCGTTTCAGATTCGAAATTTCAAGGCCCTAATGCCATGGGCAGCTACCGGTCCTACACTTCCTTGAACTGCCTATTTCCCACGAACTGCACCCCCAGCAAATACACCACCCTTCCAACTACCGCACCGTTTGGTGACGACGACGAAAAATGTTCAATGTCTCAATATCTGAGGGGCATAAAACGCAACCCTGACGGGCTGCGAATTGACTTACCGTGAGGGCACGGGTGCGCAGCCCGTGGTTTGTTTGTTGATGTTGTTGTGTGTGTGTGTGTGTATGTGTGTATGTGTGTGTGTGTGTGTGTGTGTGTGTGTGTGTGTGTGTGTGTGTGTGTGAGAGAGAGAGAGAGNTGTGTGTGTGTGTGTGTGTGTGTGTGTGTGTGTGTGTGTGTGAGAGAGAGAGAGAGAGAGAGAGAGAGAGAGAGAGAGAGAGAGAGAAAGAAAGAGAGAGAAATCAGGCGCGGCGCCACTTTATCAACACGCCTCGATCGATAAGGCACCACGTTCCTTGTGCACACAGGGAGACTATCACTTTGTGAACGCAAAGGGAACGGGAGCGGCCGCCGCTGCTTTTGGCCTGTTTCGATTTCGACCACGACAGGCTCCGAATTCAATTCAAACCACTACTCTACCTGACGTTGGAAATTCAGGGGACCGGTAGCACAGGTCCATGAGGCCTACCAGTAGCACAGAGTGGAGAACGGGCAGAGTGGTGAATATGAAAAATGGGATGAATTTGCGCTATAAGTTATTTCACGTTTGAGACATTTTTTTAATTTTTTTTAACATTTTTCCTGAAAAGATCATGACCAAATCTACGGACCTTCAAATTTTCAGACTTGTTTACGAGTTTTTCTGAGCGTGAAAAAGCTTTGAAATAGGGGTACTTTTCCCGTTGGCCCACAAGTTGTCGTGTACCAAAAATAGGAAAAGTAACGAATTGGCGCGGCATTTATTTCATGGTCTAAACGGTTTTATTTTATTTTGTTGATATTTTTCCTGGAACGATCACGACTTGGCCTACCCGATGTCAAAGTTTCAGATCTTTTCTCCAATTATTCTGCGTACGAAAAATCGTCAAAGTTGGCGCTAAAAAATTGCAAGATTGGACCCGCCTGCGCCTTCCAGTCGGTGCCCCCCCTAAAAACCCACCCTAACTCACCACAGGGTCTGCGTCCACGCCGTTTCATATTCGAAATTTCGAGGCCCTAATGCCACGAGCAGCTACCGGTCCTGCACTTCCTTGAACTGCCTATTTCCCACGAATTGGACCCTCACCAAATACACCCCCCCTAAAAACCCGCCCTAACTCACCATAGGACCTGCGTCCACGCCGTTTCAGATTCGAAATTTCAAGGCCCTAATGCCACGGGCAGCTACCGGTCCTGCACTTCCTTGAACTGCCTATTCCTCACGAATTGGACCCCCAACAAATACACCACCCTTCCAACTACCGCACCGTTTGGTGACGACGACGAAAAATGTTCAATGTCTCAATGTCTGAGGGGCATAAAACGCAACCCTGACGGGCTGCGAACAGTAGAGCTCTGTCCACTGATTTACCACCTGGCCATCTCGAAGGTAAGACCCCAAGCATGCCACAGACACGATCGTGGAGCCAATGGGAGTCGAACCCACGACCCTCCTGAATGTCGCTTGGTCTCCTTACCAACTGAGCTACACCCAGTTGGCTATTGGCTATTTTTGTCTGTTCTATTTGTGGCTGCTATTGACTTACCGTGAGGGCACGGGTGCGCAGCCCGTGGTTTGTTTGTTTATGTTGTTGTGTGTGTGTGTGTGTGTGTGTGTGTGTGTGTGTGTGTGTGTGTGTGTGTGTGTGTGT